CAGGCTGTCCTTCTTCCAGTTATGGGTGGCATCAGGGTCATCTGGATAATGAGAGAAGGAACAGTGAGGATCACGCTAGCGATACCCTCGTTATGGTGCCCTCATTATCAGAACAACACAACAGCACATCTCATTTGCTTCAGACATAAAGGGGTGGTTGTTGGGTGGCTTGCTTGATTCTCCACAATCCGAGACACAAAGAGGCTTTTGTCTGATTTTCGTTAGTTTATTTTCTTTAAACTTCTCAGGCAATTGGATTTTAATGCCAGTCATTTTCCCAGCCTCTACCTCAGGTTTTTATTTTGGGAATGCTTCTTTAAGGTCCTTAACTTTCCGTGGGCCTCGGTGTCCTAAAGGTGAATGTGTTTGAATGGCAGGACCCCTTCCAACTGGAGAAAGAGCGGCTCAGAGAGACTGCCTCGTTTGAACACACTCCATGGTGGCTGGTTAGAATGTGGGTGCAGCTGTGGCCAATGTTGTTCGTGCTTGATTCAGGACTGGATTGATCATCTCCTCTTTTTTCCAGGATTGCTCACAATCATCACCCCCACCCAACATGCATGAGTGGTCTTTGGGGAACATACAGAGGAACACTCCAAGTAGAGGGGGCTTAATGAGCCAACTAGAAAGAGCAGAGATCATCCTTTTTAGTCATGAGGCCAGGTGGAAAGAGCATTTGATAGGATTCGTGAAACTGGATTTCAATACCAGTAATACTTCTTTTTGAACAAGTAGTTTTATCTCTTGAAGACCAAAAGATAATGATAATCTTTTGTCTCCAGTCTTAATTATCTAGTGCTGCTGTAACAAAATACCACAAGTGTTTTTTGTTTTTTTTTTTTTAACATGAACAAACTTTAGCAAAGTTATTTTCTCACAGTTTCGGAGGCTGGCAGTCTGAATTCAGGGCACTAGCCCTATATGAAGGTGCTCTATCTTTCTGCTGATGTTAAGGAAGGTCCTCGTCTCTTATCCTCTATAGTCCCCTAACTTTGCTGCTTGACCTACTTCATTGGCTGTCACATCAACATCAGAAAGAAACTCATTACCTAATGGGATTCTAACCATAAGTACAGGTTTTTTAGCACACAGTGTAATCTATGTCGTCTACCATAGACTTCATCAGATTGTTGAGGTTTAAAAGAGCTGATGGGGAGGGGAGCATTGAAAACTCCAAAGTTTCTTTTT